TGCAGACATTATGAATTGGAAGAAAAGGAGAGAGATAACAATGAGTGAAAACAATGAATCATGTGATGGATGTTTACATTCCTGCACCATTGGGTAGCTGATCTGTGATGGCTTCCCTCATATAGAACATCTCGAGCACATAACAACAATACATCTCCAGCGGGGATAAAACACTAGACAAATACAATAATCCCTATAAGCACAATATTCTTGATTATTTCCTGTTGTGTTTAGCCAGCAGTGGAAGTAAAACATTTTTATTTCTGAGGTCCAACAAATGCTCCTTTTTATGCTGTGCTATCCCCACCAGAGGCCTCGTAAATTAAGATAATTCTTTACTATCAACATGACATTTATCAATGGGTTTACAAAAAAGCGACAGGCTATGCTGCAAACCAAAACCCTTTCGGCATCAGCATTGTGGCATAGTGGTTAGCAATGCTGTCTTAATGCACCAAGGGTCAATATTTGATTCAACAGAAGAGAAAAATAATGGAGTGTATCCGGGTGCCAGATCACTTCCAAAAAAATGGGTAATATTTTAGTGCCACGTCCTAATTATAATAGTCAAAAATTGAAGGGAAAGAAACAGGGGAAAGGTTGCAAATGGACTTTAAAGGCACAGAAATTCCAAACACATATTAGTAAAATCATTTGTACTTTATTATGACAATAAGTCATGAAAAAACATTTTAACAGTTTAAAAGATCATAGTTATACTGTCCACACAGACAATGTCCCACAGCCCACCATGTACAAGGAACACACTAATGATTAGGGATATAAAAACCACCAGATGGATCCTATAGGGGGGGTGAGAGACATTAAGTCGCAGGAAAATTGACCAACATGTTTCGTGACAATGATCACTTCTTCAGGGGCTTAATAATAAAATCTAAAAGAAATCTACATAAATTGAATATATCAAATTCTATTCACATATTCACATGTTGTAATTTTATATATTCAATTTTATGTATATTTCTTTTAGATTGTCACAAAACATGTTGGGCCATTTTCCTGCGCGTTAATGTCACTCACCCCCCCCCCCCCTGTAGAATCCATCTGGTGGTTTTTATATCCCTGTTCATTAGTGTGTTCCTTGTTCATGGTGAGCTGTGGGACATTGTCTGCAGGGACAGTATAACTATGATCTTTTAAGCTGCAAGATGTTTTTTCATGACATTGTCATAATAAAGTACAAATGATTTTACTAATATGTGTTTGGAGTTTCTGTGCCTTTAAAGTCCATTTGCAAACTTTCCCCTGTTTCTTTCCCTTCAATTTTTGACCAATATTTGATTCAGTCTAGCACTCTTTATAACACTATAGTAATATATGACATTCAATTCTAGGGACTAGGGGAAATTAAGAGTTTTTTTTTTTTTCCCCAAAATTTGGCAAAAATCTGAGGATTTCAGCTAGATGTCAACCATTTTTGGTAAAACATATTTGAGTCAATAGGGAAGGTGGTTTTTGGTAGTTTTGACATTTGCAATGGGCTTTAAATGGCTCTTGAGAGTCAAATAAGCTCCTTTCAGTTATTCAGGACCTATTCTCAAAAATGGTTCCTAATGAATCATTTTACATTTTTTTCACAGAAAGGAAAAATAGTGAAAAAAGTCAAATAGAAATTTAAATGAACGTACACAAATACACACAAACAAAAAAAGCAAGAAACACACAATTAGGCCTCATGCACAATGGACATTTTTAACGCTGCTCTTAGGGGGGTATGGCATTTTGTTCTGACTCTAAATGCCCCCGTGTTTTAGCCTATGTGTCCAATGCACACACAAATCTTTAGAGGCAGAAAAAAACACTGCTGGCTTGTCCAGGAGCACAGGCTTTTTGGCAGAAAGAAACGCTTGATGTGTGCAAACATGAGCATTATCTAAATGTCTAAACAAGCATTATCGCTAGGCGGATATAGCACTTGAATGCTAATTTATTTCAATGGCCAGAATAAATGATTATTCTGGCCAATGAAATTAATTAAATCTCAAGCGTTTGATGCACCTAAATGCAGTAAACTTGTGAAACATTTTTCTTTGAAAATGCTGCTGCCAGGAGGAAAGGCATCTAGATAAGATGGCCAAAGCATCAAGTGTGCATGAGTCCTTACAAAGGACAACAAATAAAATAAATAAAGCAACCTAACTCAACCTAAACTAAATACCCCCCAATAAAAAAACACACCCTTTAAAGAAAGAAAAAAAAAAGGGGGGGACTCATTGAGAGAAAATGAGAGTTTCCACAGTGAAATGTAATATTGCTGTAAAATCTATTTCACCAAAATCAATCTGCTCATCTCTGTTGACTGAAATGTAATATCACAGTACAATCATGTTATTACATTATACATAAACATCTTTCCATTTTATACATTTTGGTCTTCAGAGGTTTGACTACAAAGAAGAATATAAGAAGATACATAGGATTCCAGGAGATACAAAGAAGATAATAGTGCTCACACCTTTCTTGCTCAGTGAGTGTTGTGACCATCGTTGATGGCTCTGTTCAGTAATTATGAGACAGATGGTGTTGAAATAACACCAAATGTTGGTTCTACAAGAGGTTTTTTTTTTTAGTCATGGCAAAAGACATAAATGATTTGAGGGTTGTGTACACTCCTTCATCAAGGGAAACAATGATACTAACAATAACTTATAAAGTCATCCACAACTTGATCCCCAGCTACATCACTAACCTGGTCTCAAAATATCAGCCGAATCATTCTCTTTGTTACTCCCAAGACCTCCTGCTCTCATCACCTCCTCCCATGCTGGCCTCCAGGACTTCTCCCAAGCCTCTCCCATCCTCCGGAACTCCCTACCCCAGTCTGTCCAGCTATCTTCTACTCTGTCCACTTTTAGGCGATCCCTGAAAACTTTTCTCTTTAGAGAAGCCTATCCTGCCTCTACCTAACAACTGTACTTTTATTTTCTCCATCAGCTCATCTCCCACAGTTATTATCTTTTGTATCACTTGACCCTCCCCTTTTAGATTGTAAGCTCTAACAAACAGGGCTCTCTGATTCCTTCTGTATTAAATTGTATTGTAACTTTACTGTTTGCCCTCATGTTGTAAAGCGCTGTGCAAACTGTTAGCGCTATATAAATCCTGTATTATTATAATATTAACAAATAATAATAATTTCTACGCTGATAACCTTGGGTCAAAAAGATCTGATTTCAAAATTAAGATGTCCTAAAAGGAAGCTCACAATGAACTCTATGTAAAGCAAAATGAAACTTGTTAAGGAAGGATATGGGTGCAGATCATCATACTGTATAAGTAGCCACAGGTGTTTGAATAGTACCATTCCCTACAATGGACTAAACAGTCCCCTGCAATGTTATAGAATAGTGGTCTCCAAACCCTGGCCTGTTAGCCAGATGTGGCCCTTTGCTTGCCTTTATCCGGCCCTTGGGACACTTTTCCTCCCACTGACACCAACAATGAGGCATAATTACTCCTACTGACACCACCGATGGGGCATTATTCCTTCCACTGATGCCAATGATGAGCAGTATTTCTTTCACTGACTGCAGCAATGGTACACTATTCCTCCCACTGATATATATGATGGAACATTATTCCTCCCACTGATATCAATGATGGGGCACTATTCGAGCCACTGATAGCAAGGATGGTGCACTATTTCGCCCACTGACATCGGCAATGTGGCACTATTTCTTCAAGTGACACCAATGATGGGAAAACTATTCCTTCCACTGACACCAATGATGAGCAGTATTTCTTTCACTGACTGCAGCAATGGTACACTATTCCTCCCACTGATATAAATGATGGAACATTATTCCTCCCACTGATACCAATGATGGGGCACTATTCGAGCCACTGATACCAATGATGGTGCACTATTCCGCCCACTGACATCAGCAATGTGGCACTATTTCTTCAAGTGACACCAATGATGGGAAAACTATTCCTTCCACTGACGCCAATGATGAGCAGTATTTCTTTCACTGACTGCAGCAATGGTACACTATTCCTCCACTGATACCAATGATGGGGCACTATTTGTGCCACTGATACCAATGATGGTGCACTATTCCACCCACTGACATCAGCAATGTGGCACTATTTCTTCCGCTGACACCAATGATGGGGACACTATTTCCTTCCACTATTACCAATATAATGGGACACTGTTCACCCTCATAATGACCACAGGTGCTATGTAATTGTTTACTGCCACTAACCACCAAACCTGAGGCTTATTTACTCCCACTGACAGGGGCATTTTTTTATTCCTACTGGCCACAGTTCAGCACTCCTAAAATCTAAAGGGCTAATCTTTGTTTAGAAAGTTTGGCGAGCCCTGGTATAGAACAATGCTCCCAGTTTGAGAGCGGACAATCTTTCTCTTTCTTCATGCTTCAAATGAAATGTCTTCATGCAATAACCAATTCTACCGTGGAGTCATGCTTCTGTTGACTTTCTATACAAGCACATTTAATACTGCCAGATTAGCAACTTTCCGTGGAAGTGACGATGCCAAGAGATAAGTATGGGGGTTGTCATTGCCAGCCTCCTTCTGAATGATCTACAGTAGATGCCTGGCTGTGTTTGTCTACTGCACTTTTCAGTCACAGATCCAAAACTTTATACTGTAAATGGATGTCAGAACTGCCTATCTTTATGCTAGCTACAGGCCACAGCATTAAAGTCAAATCACCAGAACTAGCAATTTCACAAGGAGAGGTCAGGAATTGCAGCTTCTCTCATGAGCAATTCCCGTTAACTGCTTTCCCGCCACCCTATAGCAGAAATACTGCTACAGGGCGGCAGGGGTGTGCAAAATTACGTGATTTTGCATTTCCGGGCACGGGGTGCGTGTGTGCCCTACCCATGCCACTGTTCGTGGCCTTGGCTGTCAATCACCAGGTCCCAGCTGTAGATTACTGGCCGGCACCCAGTGATTGCCGAGTATTACCGACGGGGGGGGGGAGAACTGTATGTAAACAATCCCCTGTCAGCTCCAGCACACTGCTTTGTATGGCTCTGCATAGCAGAGCCAAACAAAGCACTGCACTTACAGTGGAAAGCACAGGTACAGCTTACTGTGAAACAGCACACAGTTAACCCTTTGATCGCCCCACATGTTATCCCCTTCCTGCCCCATTCCATTAGTACCATGTCAGTGCTTTTTATTAGCACTGATCACTGTATTGGTGTCACTGGGGATGGCAGTGACACCAAGTCAGTTCCCCCCAGTGTCAGAACACCCGGCGCAGTCCCAATATAAGTCGCTGATCACCTCCATTACTAGAAAAAAAATTCCAGTATCCGTCATTTGTACACGCTATAACTTTCACGTAAACCAATCAATTTACACGTAATGAAACATAAGTCAAAAATATTGTTTTGTTTTTTTTTCAAAATTGGCAGTATTTTTTTTTATAGTGCAAAAAATAAAAAATGCACAGGCGATCAAACACCACAGAAAAAAAGCTCTATTTGTGGGAAAAAAAGGACATACATTTTATTTGGGTGCAGCGTTGCATGACCGTGCGATTGTCAGTTAAAGTAACGCAGAGCCATAACGCAAAAATGGCCTGGTCAGGAAGGGGGGGTGAATCCTCTGGAGGACAAGTGGTTAAAAAAAGTGTCAGAAAAATATTTTGTTTATCAGGTTCTTGTTTAAACTATCTTTCTCATAGCTATAGAAATATAATTATAAGGGAAGTTGATATTTGGCTTTATTATGTTTTGTAAGTATATCATAGTAAATCAGTTTTACTGTTGTAAAAAAAAAAACAAAAACATACAAGGTGAATATTTTGAATGAATATCTTTCTGTTAATGGTAACACACAAGAGGATAACTATCAGGAGGATTATTTAGTCACAAAACATCCATTAGGAAACTGATTATTTTTCTTAGTATACATGCCGTGAATAGCTATTAACTCAGTAGCCTTTCCAGATTCTTCCTACGGATATGATATGTCCTGAGTCAGAGAGTATGATAGAACTGCATATAAATATATCTGGTTACAATCCTGACACAACGTCACACCAAATAATTTCCCCATGATGGATCTGAGGCAGCCTTCATTTGTAGGCACAATTTTTAACTTATATTTCACAATCATAATCATCTGGATGTCAAGTGTATCTAAACCCAAGAACAAAAATATGATGTGAATGTACAATATCTATGTAAAGCGCTGCGTAAACTGACAGCGCTATAGAAGTACCTGAAATAAATAAATATAATATGTTGCAGCTTACCAGTCCTTAGATATTGTGACTGCATTAGGCCTCATGTACAGGGAGGTGAGTTTAGGAGCTTTTGGCGTTTTTTTGCCAAGGCCCTTAAACTCAACTCAGTAAAAGTCTATGAGTTCATGCACACATAGGCTTCTATCAGAGTTTAGCAGCAGCAGAGTTTAGGGGCAGTTAAATGGCTCCTAAATGCAGAATAATCGCGTTCAGGAGAGGAACGCTTTGGCTAAAAAATAGCAAACACAGCTAAAACGCTTGTAAACGCGCCTAAACACTAGCCGCATTTAGTGCTTGGGCATTTGTTAATTTCAATGGCAAGTACTCTGGCCAATGAAATGAACAAACATCCAAGCGCTAAAGTAAGCGCAGCTAAACGTGGTAATGCCTTTAACACACGTGTTTAACGTTTTTCTGCTGCCAGTAGAGTTAACCTCTATAGCAGTTCCAATGTACATGTAGCCTTAGGGTTCTTTTTTTCCGGTGATCCTGCCAGTAAAACAATTCCTGCCTTATGGCGATCCTGCAAACCTATTGCTCTGCCCCTATGGAGAAGCAGCATTCTCACCTTAGAACAGGACTACATCTCTCGTTCTTCATCTCCATACCACAGGCATAGGTGTTTTGTCACTTACAAAGGTGAATGGAACAGAGAAACACTGGATTTATGATATTTTTGCATGAAATAATCAAATATTACAAAAATATTTAAATGGTATATTTAATAGACCAAAGGGAGCTATTAAAGAAGGTGATTTTTACTGAACAAGCAGGCACAGCGGTCAAGCCCCTTCAGTGACATGGAGACTGTTAAAAGTACAGTATAATTTTTTTACATCAACAATAATACATCTATACATATGGAGAAAAGCATCTATACACATGGAGAGATATCTTAAAACAGAACCCTAAGGCCCCTTTCACATTAATCTGCTGCAGTTTCCCACAGCGCAGGTGCAGTGCAGTGTACCCACAGTTTTCATGCAGGTTACCCTTGCTTTGCCAAACATTTCCATTAGATTGAGCAGTTTTGCTGCATACCAAAGCCACCTGATCTAATGGAAGTCTACGGCAAAGAGCGGGTTACCCGCATAAAAACCGTGGATGCACTGCACTGCACCTGTGCTGAGGGAAACCGCAGTGGATCATAGTGAAAGGGTACTAAATCAACTTTGTGTGCAATGCAGATTTGGGACTGTGTTTCTTTAAGGTGTTACTAAACCCACAACAGTGAAAATCAATCTGAATATGCAGTATAACATGCTTGTTATAATCACTGTGGAACATGAGGGGTTAATCCTCCGCATTGTCTAAAAAGGATGTTTGATCTGACTTCTCTGATCCCCCCCTTCTCCTACTGTCCCCAGTCCATCTGCTGATAGTACAGAGCCTTGAGGGCAAGCTGCACATGCTCAGTTTGGTGTGTATTGCTAGAGAGTTTTGTTAGTTTGTTTGGAGAGTGAATATCATCAGCACAGGGCCAATCAGCTTTGTCCAGACAGAGGGTCAGGTGTTATGCAGCCTCATAGGACAATCAGGGGAGAATGAAAGCTCCTCCTACAAGTTTTAACCAGTGCTCTGCTGGACACTGATAGAAGTCACAGGACTGCTCAAACTGCTGATGAGAAAAAGTATTTAGCAGTGTATATTTACTAAGATAATTGCATTTCCATGTTCTGTTTACTGTGGTAGACCAGATATAGTAAATGCATGGTCCTGGGTGCAGTAACACTTTAAGACTTATTAACTAGACTGAAAAGACAAATGTCCATCACGATCAACGCTTCTTATAATATACTGTAGCTTATTAATTGTGGATACTATTAGCTGTGATTAAAGCTTCCAGTCTTTGTTTTAAATTATGTTATTGATTTTGTTAGTAGCAAGTAATGCAGTAGGGCATTCCATGGACTAACCACAAAATTGTTTTATTATATTCTATAAATAGGTATAAGAGATCTATTAGAAGGAAGAAATATGCTTCAGTCATGAAACATAGCCCGGTTTATGTTTTCCATATACATTAAGTGAATAGGAATTAGCTCAGTAGGCTTTCCAGATTTTTCTTCTGAGTCTGCAATTGCTTAAATCAGAAAGCATGTAAGAACTGTATATGAATATATCAGATTAGGATGCTGACCTAACGTAAAGCCAAGCAATTACCTCATTATAGAGTTGAACTCCTATTCATTTCTGAAAACAACCCCCACTTATAATAATTGTAATCATCCTTCCTCTAGATACAAATGTTCCCTTGACCTCCTCACAGTCATTGGAATAATACATACATCTGTCAAATCTTTAGATATTAAATTTTGATATATTTTTGAATATTCAATGGATCCCCTCTATGACATACAGTATTTTACCAGTTTTTAGGTCTTACCTCCAATTTCTGTTGTCAATATAGCTGCCTGCCTAGGAAACCTAGCTAAAATAAATCTGGTGCCCTTTTTATGGTGCTGAAAAAATTCACAAAACTGTTTAAGATGTGGTCATAAATAGAAATGTGTGCACACGTGTGTGTGTGTGTGTGTGGGGGGTGGGGTGGGGTTGTAGGTAGGTAGGAAGAAAGGGATTGAAGTAGTAATTAGGCTGAGTTCACATATACTGTGGTGACAGGCAATTGTTTCCTATGTGTCCCATTCACACTGCAATGCAGCTTAGGCATGCTGCATTTTGTCGCAGTGTACCGTGCCGAATGACGTGGCAATGTACTGCACCTTATGCATTGCGCTGCTGTACATTGCCATGAATGGAGCATACATTTTGTACATTTCACATAAAGTTTGTACAAAACAAAAAAAGGAGCCATGTGATGCGCTAAATCGTGCACCTAACTTCCCACTACCGCAGCCAGTAAAGTGCTCCGGCAGCTCTCAGTTCCAGTGTGAATTCACCTCTTTAGAGAGGAAGGGGTGTGTGATAGGCAAGTAAGTATGGCACAGGGGCGGACTGATCATTTGGAAACTCGGGCACTGCCCGAGGGCCCAGGGTCAGTAGGGGGCCCCATGAGATGCCCCTGGTACCTTTTTCATAGGCTTTTTTGAAATTGGGCAAGGACACAGGGGCCCCATGATCCCCTATTGCCCGGGGGCCCCATGAGTTGTCAGTCCACCCCTGGTATGGCACAACTGCAAACCTGCCAAGGCATGGCCGTCCATCTAAACTGACAGGCCAGGCAAGGAGAGCATTAATCAGAGAAGCAGCCAAGAGGCCCATGGTAATTCTGGAGGAGCTGCAGAGATCCACAGCTCAGGTGGGAGAATCTGTCCACAGGACAACTATTAGTCATGCACTCCACAAATCTGGTCTTTATGGAAGAGTGGCAAGAAGAAAGCCATTGTTAACAGAAAGCCATAAGAAGTCCCGTTTGTAGTTTGTGAGAAGCCATGTGGGGACACAGCAGACATGAGGAAGAAGGAGCTCTGGTCAGATAAGACCAAAATGTAACTTTTTGGCCTAAAAGCAAAGCGCTATGTGTGGCAGAAAACTTTAAATTTTCCACATTTTGTCATGTTACAACCAAAAACATTGGGCGTATACATATGTGATTTTGTGCAGCTGTGCCACTCGGTAGCAGTATTTCTGCCATAGGGCGGCAGGCAAACAGTTAATCACCACTGTTTTTTTTTTGCTATATAAACAAAGAAATACTGAAACTTTTAAAAAAGAAAAGCCGAATTTTCTTAGTTCCTGTTGTACAATTGTGTACATAAATAATCTTTCTTCATAAATTTAGGCCAAAATGAATTCTGCTACATTTCATTGGTAAAAATAACCCAAATCAATGTACATTACTTAGTCTGTGTGAGGGTTATGGAATCTACAAACTATGGTTTATACTGTATATTGGAAAATTGATCAGTCCATAAATTTTGTATTTTCTGAATGAATATAAAAACTTCCTATGATTGGCTGAAGCAGAGAGGCAGGCAGCTGACATCACTTTTTCCACCTCAGCGAATCAGAGGAAGCTTTGTATTCATTCAGAAAATACAAAGCTTCCTGTGAAAAGTTGAGCAGTACTCAGCCCAAATCAATTTTTTCCTGGAGTGAGACAGGAAGTCCTCATCCTTGGTGGTGTATTTAGGTTTTGTGCTGCCCTAGGCAACACAAAAATCGTCTGCCCCCATGGACACCGACCTACACAACTCCCCCATTACCCCTCCTGCAGAGAAAGCCTGACATTGACCAACAGCACCCCTGTCCCCCACCCGGGAGAGCCTTCCACTACTCCCCCCCTCAGCGATAGAGTCACTCATCTTCACAGCTCCACACATCACCGAGAACATACACCATCAAGCAGCCAGCAGCCTCTCTCAGATCCCACCTGGTTCCCATAGCACGCGTGTCCCTTCTTTCAGCCCTTCTTCTGAGGGGAGGTGCTGCCCCCCTGGAAAATGCCGCCCAAGGCAAATGCCTTGTTTGCCTTGTGGTAAATACGCCCCTGCTCATCCTGCTGCTAGAACACAGTGCTGTATACTGTATGCAGCCCAGGCTACATATACAGCTGACAGTTGCTGCATGAGTTAGTGAAGGAAATAGTTCATTTGGGCCAGCTTGGTCCAAACAATTTATAGTCACAAGAAACATAGGAGTTAAGCCCCTTTCAAAGGGGCATTCCGTATGTCCATTTTTCATCTGTCTGTTTACGGATGAAAAACGGACACCCATGTATTTCTATGGATTAGCAGATGACCGTCTGTTTACATCCGTTAATGTCCGCATCCGTTAACAACGTTTTTTAATGGAAGAAAACCCTATTTTTCTTCTGTTAAAAAAACCCGGAACGGGTGAAGAACAGATGTAAACAGACAAAAAATGGATGTAAACAAATGTAAATGGACAAAAACAGATGAAAAATGGATGAAAATGGATGTAAATGGATGAAAAAACAAATGTAAAACTGATGTAATGAAAAACTAACGTAAACTGATGAAAAACTGATGTGAACTGATGAAAAACTGATGTGAATTGATGAATAACTGATGTGAACTGATGAAAAACTGGTGTGAACTGATGAATAACTGATGTAAACTGATGAAAAACTGATGTGAACTGATGAAAAACTGATGTGAACTGATGAATGTAAGCTCAGAAGAGCAGGGCCCTCGATCCCCTCATGTTTTGCATTGTATTGGTATTGTTCTGTCACATGTTCTGTCCCCCTTTGTAATGTACAGCGCTGAGCAAACTATTGGCGCTTTATAAATACTGTATAATAATAATAATAATGAAAAACTGATGTGAATTGATGAATAACTGATGTGAACTGATGAAAAACTGATGTGAACTGATGATTAACTGATGTAAACTGATGAAAAACTGATGTGAACTGATGAAAAACTGATGTGAACTGATGAATAACTGATGTAAACTGATGAAAACTGATGTGAACTGATGAAAAACTGATGTGAACTGATGAATAACTGATGTAAACTGATGAAAACTGATGTGAACTGATGAAAAACTGATGTGAACTGATAAATAACTGATGTGAACTGATGAAAAACGAATGTGAACTGATGAATAACCGATGTAAACTGATGAAAAAACTGATGTGAACTGATGAAAAACTGATGTGAACTGATGAATGTAAGCTCGAAAGAGCAGGGCCCTCAATCCCCTCATGTTTTGCATTGTATTGGTATTGTTCTGTCACATGTTCTGTCCCCCTTTGTAATGTACAGCGCTGAGAAAACTATTGGCGCTTTATAAATACTGTATAATAATAATAATAATGAAAAACTGATGTGAATTGATGAATAACTGATGTGAACTGATGAAAAACTGATGTGAACTGATGCATAACTGATGTAAACTGATGAAAAACTGATGTGAACTGATGTGAACTGATGAATAACTGATGTAAACTGATGAATAACTGATGTGAACTGATGCATAACTGATGTAAACTGATGAAAAACTGATGTGAACTGATGAATAACTGATGTAAACTGATGAAAAACTGATGTGAACTGATGAAAAACTGATGTGAACTGATGAAAAACTGATGTGAACTGATGAATAACTGATGTAAACTGATGAAAAACTGATGTGAACTGATGAATAACTGATGTGAACTGATCCGTTTTTTTCTTGGGAAAAACTTGACTGAACTGATGAAAAAAATGGAACGAGTGAAAGGGGCCTTAGGCTTTAAACTTTACATCAACTGCAACAATGTGCAAAAAAGAGAAAAAGTGTTCCTTCCAGAATTAATGGCACGTGTATAATTACTATAATTCTTCCTTTGTCCTTTATAATAATTTCATTTTTTTTTCAATCATGGAGGCTCAGAATCACATGTGGGCACCCTGCTAACATTTTCTGCCAGCTATGATCTTCCTGCATTACATAGAGAAGCACAAAGACCTCATAATGATGTCACTGGGTGTAAAACAAGGTTGCAATGAAAAAGTGAAGGTTTTATTGAATAATTTCATCAGCATATTGATGCGGTGGGAAAGGAGGAACCAAGGAAGGCAAAATATAAGAAGAATACACTTCAGCTTTAAGCAAGATGGTCAAATCCACTTCAAACAATGATTTTAGTGGAGGAGTTTGCTTATTTGTAACTGTGAGCTTCTTAACCACTTGCCTACCAGGCACTTATACCCCTTCCTTACCAGGCCAATTTTCAGCTTTCAGCGCTGCCGCACTTTGATTGACAATTGCGCGGTCATGCAACATTGTACCCATATGAAATTTTGATCATTTTTTTCTCACAAATAGAGCTTTCTTTTGGTGGTATTTAATCGCCACTGGGCGCTTTACTTTTTGCGCTATAAATAAAAAAAAGTGCAAAAAATTTGAAAAAAAAAAAAAAAGTTTCTTTGTTTCTATTATAAAATTTTTCAAACAGGTATTTTTTCTCCTTCACTGATGTGCGTTGATGAGGCAGCACTGATGGGCACTGATAGGCGGCACTGATGGGCACTGATAGGCAGCACTAAAGGGCACTGATAGGCAGTACTAATGAGGTGGCACGGATAGGCGGCACTGATAGACAGCACTAATGAGGTGTCACGGATAGGCGGCACTAATATGCAGCACTGATAGGCGGCACTGATAGGTGACACTGATGATGGGTACTGATAGACGGCACTGACTGGCATCACTGCTGGGCACTGACTGGTGGCACTGACTGGCACAACCCCTGGGCACTGACTGGTGGCACTGACTGGCAGCACTGCTGGGCTGCACTGGTGGGTGGCACTGGTGGGCAGCACTGGTGGGTGGGCACAGGGGGGTGGCACTGGTGGGCACAGGTGGGTGGGCACAGGTGGGTGGCACTGCTGGGCACAGGTAGGTGGCACTTCTGGGCACAGGTGTGTGACACTGCAGAGTGGCACAGGTGGGTGCACTGCTGGGCACAGGTGGGTGCACTGCTGGGCACAGGTGGGTGATCTGCTGGGCACAGGTGGGCGGAGCTAGTGGGCGCACTGCTGGGCACAGGTGGGCGGAACTTGCGGGTGGCACTGCTGGGCACCGATCATCAGGGCACTGATCATCAGTGCCCGGATGATCGGTGCCGATCCCCGCTCTGACAACTGCCGGTTCTCGGCAGTACTTTCCTCACGATCTGACAGCGTGAGGAAAGTGCAGCCGAGAACCGGCACTTGCATTTCCCTCTGATCAGCGTGTCATTGGACACCGCTGATCACGTAGTAAAAGGCCGCTGTGATTGGCCTTTTACCACATCACGTGATCAGCTGTGTCCGTAGGACACAGCGATCACGGAGATCGCTGGGTGCGCGCCCCCTGGGGCGCGCAGGAGAGCGCGTTCTGGGAGGACGTCATATGACGTCCACTCAGAACTGGCCGGCCGCAGTGCAGCCGTCATTTGGCTATCTGCGGTCGGCAGGTAGTTAAAGTGTTACTAAACCCCGGACCCTGCATTCACTAAATCTGGTCTCCCAACATGGAAATGCGATTATGTTAGTAAGTATAAACTGCTGAATACCTTTTCTTATCAGCAGTATGTAGCAGTCTTGTGATCTATATCAGTGTCCAGCAGAGCACTGGTTAACCTTGTAGGAGGCGTTTTCATTTTCTGACTTTCCTATGAGGCTGAATGACCCTTGACCCCCCTTTCTGGACAGTGCTGATTTGCCCTGTGCCAATCACATGCACCCTTCCAAAAATATCATACAACTCTTTAGCTATGCACACCAAACTGAGCATGTGCAGAGTGCCTCCTAGGGCTCTGTACTATCAGGATTGGGGACTGTGGAAAAAGGGGAGGATCAAACATCCTTTTTACACAATGTGCAGGATTAACCCCTTAGGATCTACAGTGAGTATAACAAGCAAATAGTCTTCTGATTTTCCTATGAGGCTGCATGACTCCTCACCCTGTATCCGGACAGTGCTGATTGGCCCTGTGCTGATCACATGCCCCCTCCTAAAAAAATGCAAAAATTCTCTTAACAATACACACCAAACTGAGCATGTGCCCCCAAGGCTCTGTTCTGTCAGCAGATATATTGGGGACAGTATAAGAAGGGGAGAATCAGAGAGGACAGGATCAAACATCCTTTTTACAGAATACAGAGGATTAACCCCTTAGGTTCCACAGTGAGTATAACAAGCATGCTTTGCTGCATATACAGACTGATTTTACTGTTGTGGGTTTAGTAACACTTTAATGCACATGTCTTTGATAAAAAAAATCCCAATACATGTAAATTAATTAGTTTACGTGAAAGGTAAAGCATCTACAAATGGCGGTATAGATATTGGGATTTTTTTACATTTTTTACTAGCAGTGGCAGCGATCAGTGACTTATAGTGAGACTGTGGCGGGCATTCTTATACTGGGGGGAACTGACTTGGTGTCACTGACATCTCCAGTGACACCAATACAGTGATCAGTGCTAATAAAAAGCACTGACACTGTACTAATGGCACGAGGCAGGAAGGGGTTAACATGTAACATGTGGGCAGCACAGTGGCTAAATGGTTAGCACTTCCACCTGGCAGTACTAGGGTCATTGGTTCTAATCCCAGCCATGGCACCACCTGCCTGGAATTTGCATGTTCTCCCTGTACCTGCGTGGGTTTCCTCTGGGTACTCCGGTTTCCTCCTACACACCAAAGACATGCTAGTAGGTTAATTGGCTCCTGTCTAAAACTGGCCCTAGTATGTGTATGTATGAATGTGAGTTAGGGACCTTAGATTGTACACCCCTTGAGGATTAGGGACTGATGTGAATGTACAATATATATATGTAAATTGACGGCACTATATACGTACCTGAAATAAATAAATACATATGGGGCGATCAAAGGGTTAACTGTGTGCTTCACTGTAAGCACACTGCTATGCCTGGCTCTGCTATGTAAAGCCATACATATCAGTGTGCAGGAACTGACAGGGGAGGAAACTGTATTGTTTACTTACAGTTCTCTCCCTCCATCGGTAATGCTCCTCAATCACAAGGTGCCAGCAAATAATCACCGTCCGGGACTCGGTGATTGACACCTCAGGCCACGAATAGCGGCACGGGTAGGGAGCAAACGTGGCTCGCGCAGCCCCTACCTGGAAATGCAAAATCAAATATATATATATATATATATATATATATATATATATACGTGATTTGGCGCACCTGTGTCGCCCTGTAGCAGTGTTACTGCAATAGGGCAGACGGGAAGTGGTTAAGCTTACAAGATGACATCCAAGATGTATTTGCTACAAAGGGGCAGTATGCTATAATTGTAAATATGATGGAGAGGTGATAACATCAATGAGCAGGTCAGAGTATGACAGTGACACTGAAGCTATGATTGGGAGGAGGGAATTCTGGGAGATTTGAGTACAGAGGGCAGTTAGCGTGGAGGTAGTGTTCGTGTCCCAGACATGATGAGCTGCATGCTTCCTGCTCAGTGACCACACACACATCATCTGCTATTCTAGGAGCAGCATCACAGGAGAAATATGAGACTCCCCTCCCCACTTTGTTGCTCTCTCTTTTTAGTTCTTTATTAGTCTGTCCTTTTCTTTCCACCCCTTTGGCCTTTTATCTATCAGTCTAATCTTCTAAAGGAACACTGACTTGTAACTTGCACTATACACTGTCCCAATGATCTGTTTTATAAAGCTGCCAATGATCCATTTTCATACAAGCACCCTATCAGTGTCCATTGTATGTACTCACTTTTTTACCTAGTGTACTCCTTTATCTGTGTTTATGATGTTCTAAAATTATGCATGGTTCTTTTAGCCATACAGTGTGTAGAATCTATTGCATTAACATAGGTTTTTGTTGGGTTAAGGTCCACTACAATACATATAAATGCTCAACTTAGTATGCAATAAAATTAATGTCAAATGGTTTTAATGAATCTTTTTTTTTATTTTCATGTTTTATTACTCTGAGATACTTGTGTGAGTTTTCTAGTGTTGATGGTACCTTTGTGTGTTTTAATGCTGTATAGGTAAGTTAGATAAGAGTAAGGACAGCTATTTTTATCCTAATGTAGTGCTACTCCCATAGGAGCCGTATCAATGCTGTCCAGGTTTCCCAAAATCTTTGCCCACAGTCAGGCACATAGGCTCATTCAAATTTTTCTTCAATGACCAGTCTAAAGGTGCTATTTTTGTTGGATTTCTTTTTGGAGAACTTGGATAGGGTTGAGGGAATTAAGTGAGATACTCCAAAAACAAGAACTATGTATACTCGAGGACTTATGCCATTTTCAGCACAAGCTATAATAAAGTATGTGGTTTCAGGAAACAGTAGATTTTAGGGTAGTAGTAGTAGTGGAAGTTAGTTACAAATCCCTTTCTTAGAACCTTAAGAACAGAGTCCCTTCAAGTAAGAGATTGGGTGGACAAAGCTCTTCAGGACACCAGCTGGTATCTCCTTTAACTGGACCATCAGCTGATTCTCTAGCTCCAGAGGGGTATTAGCATCCCAAAGCCTCTAAGTTTCTTCAGAAGTGTCTGTACTCACAAGGCCCAAGGACAGCTGGTTGCCTTCCTCCGTAATACCAATCTAGATCTTCAGTAGATGGCCTCTCAGTCAGCTCTTAGAAGCATCCGGGTCTCAGCGTTTAGGCCCTCAGGTTCCCCACCTGAGGCCTCTTGTGGAAGCATTGTTTGGGAGGGCAGCATACCCCCCCCCAAGCTGGACCAATTCACTACAGGAAAAGACCCAGAAGTGTGCTCACTGAATATATACAGTCTCCCAGCATGCCTTCAGAGCTTCCCTCTCTGGGATAGGCCATGGCTGTATTAATATTCATGCTACCTTCTGCATAGCTCCACGTCTATCATCCAGAAACTTCTCAAGCTCTCTAGATGCAGAGGAAGCTATCAGACTGACAGCAGCTGAACAAACCAAGCAAGCCTGACTAGCAGAATGCAGCTTTCACTGAGTACAGTGTGCAAACCATGCAACAATCCAACAACAATCACATCCACAATGACTGCAGTGTGGTAACTAGATTTATCAAAACACATACTAAATCTAAACCTAGAACCTATCTGGAAGGGTGCTGCACTAAAACCGAATATTATTTATACATTTTACTTGGTTACTGCTAACTTGGGGCATATTTATAAATCAATGAATCCGATGGTGACCATTCACTGCAGGCAAATCTTCCTGCTGCATGTGTTTTACATGATGGTGATTGATTCACCCCCAGTGAATGTTTGTTGAAAATCACATTGTCTGCTATATAGATATACCCTTTGAAGTTTATGTTTACTTTCGTGTTTAAAAATCTATTTGGATTGACCCTGTTCATATAATTTGCCTTTATACAGACCTAAGATGTAGTCAGTGGTGTATTTAGGTTTCGTGCTGCCCTAGGCAACACAAAATTGGCTCCCCTCCCCACGGAGAGACCCTGACACTGACCAACACCCCCCTCCCCCACAAAGAGAGCCTGATGTTGACTAACAACACCCAAACCCCTCACCCCCACCCGAGAGAGCCTTCCACTATCACCGCCCCTCATACACTGGCAACCCCCCCCCCGGCAAGAGATAAGACACCTTCACAGCTCTGGACATTCCTCAGGAACAAGAGTCAGGCTCTGCATACACCACACGGGCGGACTGACAACTCATGGGGCCCCCGGGCAATAGGGGATTATGGGGCCCCTGTGTCCTTGCCCAAACTCAAAAAAGCCTATGAAAGAGGTACCAGGGGCATCTCATCGGGCCCCCTACTGACCCAGGGCGCTCAGGCAGTGCCCGAGTTTCCAAATGGTCAGTCCGCCCCTGACACACCATCAAGCAGCCCACAGTCTATATCTCAGATCCCATCTGGTCTCCGTGCTGCATGTGTCCCTTCTTCCTTTCCTTCTTTCAGGGGGTAGCCCTGAAAAATGCTGCTGCCCCCTGTAAAATGCCGCCCTAGGCAAATGCCTTGTTTGCCTTATGGTAAATAGACCCCTGGATGTAGTGCAGACCTGCTCCCTACTACCCGGCCACATGTTCATTGATTAGTGTGTGTCCATTCGTACTCAGAATGTTCATGCCTCTCAAGAACATGGATGTCAATACCTATAAACAATGCAGTTATAAACATGCTAAGAAAAAAAGAGCTAAAAAACCCATACATCCTTCCTGGTTCATTGATACCCACATTAGCAATAAAAAATAAAAAACATCATACAGTAACCCTATTTTAGCTGTGCATGACACTTGCATTTTGAAACACCCACCTACAATGGTAGCTGGGCACATGAAGGCTTCATCTAGTTGATAATATTCAAATGTCGAGTTAATACAATAACATTCTGAATGGAAGAGAATGAGCCATAGTACAATAAAAGGTACATACATATATTGAGGGGAGAGTGCAAAATCTGGTGCATCTGTGAAGAGTAACCAATCAGCTTCCAGGTTTAAGGCTAGGTTCACACCTATGCGGTTTGCGTTTGATCCGTTTCTGGAGTGCGTTTTGTTTTTTTGTACATGCGTTTTCACGTGTTTTTGTCACGTTTTTGATGCGTTTTGCATTTTTTTAATTATAATTTTTTTCTTGTTGCTAGGCAGATTTAAAACTGTAAACACATCAAAAACGCTGCAAAACGCGGCACAAATGCATCAAAACGCAGCAAAAATGCACTACATGCTTTTCTGTAGCGTTTCCATTGAAGTCTGTAGAACCAAACATGCAACTTTTTGCATTTAAAAAAGTCCCTGACCATGTCCAAAAAACACACCAGGTGAAAATACGGAGATGTAAACCTGTCCCATATGAAATCATGTTAAATGGACTGTAGTGCGATTCTGCAAAAAGCTGCAGAAAACGCTTAGGTGTGAACCTAGGGTTATTGTCAAAACTTAATTGAACAAGCTGAAATCAGAAACTGATTGGCTGTAATGCACATCTGCACCAGATTCTCAGTGCTCCAGTTCTAGTAAATCAACCCCAAAGTCTAAGGTTAGGTTCACACCTATGCGCGTTGCGTTTGACCTGTTTCTGCATTGCGTTTTGCATTGCATTTTGCGTTTTTGAACCTGCATTTTTTACATGTTTTTTGCCACATTTTTTATGCGTTTTGTGTTTTTTTTTATTTTTTTTCATGTTGCTAGGCAGATTCACAACGAAAAACATGGCAACAACGCACTACATTCTTTTCTGCAGCATTTACTTTGAAGTCTATAGAACCAAAAACGTAACTTTTTTCATTAAAAAAAGTCCCTGACCCTTTCCAAAAAACTCACCGGGTGAAACCGCGGAGGTGTGATTATGTCCCATGGGAAATCATGTTAAATGGACTGTACTGCGTTTCAGCAAAACGCTGCAGAAAACGCTTAGGTGTGAACCTAGGGTCAGGGAAGTTTGTACACCAAGACACACAGGCAGGTTTTTTGGCCCATTTGTGCTCAATCCTTCTCTAAAGTGTTTTGAGAATCTTTTTAGTGACATTTTTGAAACCACAATTTATAGGAATTTATGGAATACATTTTCACAACAGCCTTGTTAACAGAAACATATGTTTTATATGTGTGTATGTGGTTGTATGTATGCATTAACAAGTCATCTCAGAACCATCTTTAAAAAGATTAAAGACATGCCAGTTAGTAGACTTTCTGCTAAAGCATATTGTCTTCAACAGAAGACGTTTCGTTTAATATAGATTCTTGTAAAAAGAGAAACAGCTGTACTCTCTGTGCTTTTATTTGAATGGTTTTATTCTCCTCCTCCTGTTGCTTGTGTGATCTCATGCACTCTTCCTCATCAGCCTTCAGTAAGTGTCTTTCTGTGCCAAGAAACAGCAGAGCCAGATCAGTCTCTTGGAGATCACTTGTGTCCTAGAGATGATGGGAGCACTTGGTGATTTTTCATCTGACTATAACGAAGACATAATTTGGTGTGGAAACATTTAGTAAATCGTGATATTCAGTTACAGCACAGTGTGTTTACAAGAAGCATGTCATATTTTATTATCTGATGATAAATCAAGATTTCTACATCATGGTTGCTGTGTTCCAGAACTATAAAAGGAGAATGTATACTTAAAGTGGAGCTCCACCCAAAAGGAGAAGTTCTGCTTTAAGTCTCTGTCCCCCGCTCCCCATTAAGGATTGCACCTTTGGGGAGGGGGACCCGAATTTGACAGGTACCCACTCCCACTTCTGCTGCGATCGCCTAGGCGATTGGAAGCGAAAGTTGTCCCCCCCCCCCGCCCTTACCATAGTCTTCTAGGACACGTGACAGGTCCCAGAAGAATACGGGGCCATTCACAAAGCGCAGCGCTTCTCACGCATGCGCAGTGGGCACCCGGCTGTGAAGCCGCAAGCTGTCACAGCCGGGTACCCACACTGAAGATGCCGGCGCCAGGGAGAGAAGACGGCCGGTGAAATCAGCGGTGGTGAAGGGGAACAGGTAAGTGGCTGTATTTTAAAAAAGTCAGCAGCTACAGTTTTTGTAGCTGCTGACTTTTTTCTTTTTTTGTAGGTGGAACTCCGCTTTAAGGTGAACCTCCAAATGATATATTTATAAACCAGAATCTAGCACAGTGACAGTGACAGAATCTCCTGCTAGCTCATCCACCTGACCCAAATATTTGCTGTCCTGTCCCATTGTTCCGCTGAAGCTGTTGTAAATACATGGGGCTTCCCAAAATGGAAGAACATGTGATCTCCTCCCAGGATGCAGTGCTCAGGCCTGGGTGACCAATTGCTAGGCCCGAACATGGACACCTGAGGAGGAGGACAACATCATAATGTGACTGTTCCTTGTCCTCTGCTTGCCTTTTTTGGGAACAGCTTCCATAGTATGATTCCTCTTGTAGTAAGGTTTGCAAATGTAACAAAGATAATAATAAGATCAAAAGGAATTCACATAATGTGACCCATCTGTATGCCATACTCCAAACTTTAGTATGTCTTCCAAATTTTCTAGGACTGGCCAGAGACTGGCATATATCTTCCAAAGAATACCAGGTGCAGAGATATAGTATTGACCAATTCTTGACACATTAGGACCTACTTGTAAGAGACAATCTGCAAGGTGAACCTGATGTCTATAGTTTTTATACTTTAACTACTTCAAGTCCGGACACTTTCACCCCCTTCCTGCCCCGGCCAATTTTCAGCTTTCAGTGCTATCACACTTTGAATGACAATTGTGCAGTCATGCAACACTGTACCCATATGAATTTTTCAGCATTTTTTTGAGACAGATAAAACTTTATTTTGGTGGTGTTTATTCACCACTGGGATATTTATTTTTTTGCTATATAAATGAAAAAGTCCCAAAATTTTATTAAAAAGTGTTTTTCTTGCAAAAAAAATAATCTTCATAAATCTTGGCCAAAATGTATTCATCTATCTTTTTAGTAAAAACAAACATAACCCAAATTAGTTTTTAACCAAAAATTATAATTTTTCTAAATTTATTTCGACATTTTTATTTTATTTTTTATATTATTATTTATGTTTTTTAACACAGTCACCCTAGTATTACAGTGTCCACTATAGTGACAACATACTACTTGTGGAGGGTGATGAAGATTTGTTTTTCTTTTTTTACACTGATTGCTTTTACACTCATAAAGGCTGTAAAAGCAATCATTTCTCCTTCTCTCTGGCTGCATTCCTACAGCCATTGAGAAATACTGTGCGAGCTGTGATTGGTCACATCTTGTCACATGATACAAGGCTGTTGTGAATAGCCTTGTACCGTGTGACCTCTGTGATCATTCACAGATTTCACAAATAGTAAGCAATGATGTCAGGAAGTGACATCTTGTTTACAACTGTTCATGTGATCACTGATTGGCCAATCAGTGATCACATGAATTGCGACCTCATAGAGGTCCCGTACAACGATCTGTGTTCCACTGTATCTGAAGGACACATCCGACACCGATCGCAGTGCCACGCGCTCCCAGGGAGCGCACACAGGCAATGAATGCGGGGGTACATTTAGAAACGTCCACCCGCATCGGCAGCGCTCTCACCCGGCCATTTATTGATGTGGGCCGGATGGGAAGAGGTTAAGTTGTTATTGGCTACATTACATTAATACAGTATTTTCTCTATAGAGTCTTTCATTTAAAGTTTTCATTTCTTTGAATTAATTCATTGTTTCTATTTTTTGTAAACAATTTAAGAAAGCTTCACTGTAATTTTCTTTCAAGATGAAATCAATTTTATTTTGATCCGTTGTTGTGAGGCCCGTAAAAGGCATTGGGCCCATTATTCAGTGCCTACTTGGTCTATTTGGTAATCTGGCACTACCCATAGCCATGGGCAATGAGTGGAACCAAAATCAACTAGATCGGCTGGTAAATATCTCATATTTATATACATTTTGTCTTTTTAACCACTTATCTACTAGACACTTTCACCCCCTTCCTGCCCAGGCCAATTTTCAGCTTTCAGTGCTGTCGCACTTTGACTGACAATTGCGCGGTCATGCAAGCCTGTACCCACATTACATTTTTATCATTTTTATCAATTAGAGCTTTCTTTTGGTGGTAGTAACTAATCACCATTGGATTTTTTTGCTAAACAAACTAAAAAAGACAATTATTTAAAAAAGTAAAACAGGTTTACTTGGTTTCTGTAATAAAACTTTCTAATTTTGTAAGTAATTTTTCTCCTTCACTGATGTGTGCTGATGAGGCTGCATTGATAGGCAGCACTGATGGGCGCTGACAGGCGGCACTGATAGACAGCACTGATAGATGGCACTGCTAGGCGGAACTGATGGGTACTGACAGGCATCATTGATGGGCACCGAAAGGCAACCCTGATGGGCACTGATATGTGGCACTGATAGGCTGCACTGATAGACGCCACTGACTGGCACTGATAGGTGGCACTGATGGGTACTGATAGACTGCACTGATGAGGAGGCACTAATAAGCGGCACTGATGGGCAGTGACAGGCATCACTGATGAGCATTGAAAGGCAGCACTGATATAGTATGTGGCACTGATAGGCAGCACTGATTGGCACTGATAGACGGTACTGACTGACACTGATTGGCACTTATAGGAAGCAGAGATGGGCACTGATAGGCGCTGATAGGCAGCAGTGATGGGCACTTACAAGCAGCATTGATGGGCACCGAAAGGCGGCACTGACTGGCACTGATAGGTTGTAGTGATTGGCACTGATAGGTGGCACTGATGGGTACTGATAGACTGCGCTGATGAGGAGGCACTGATAGACGGCACTGATGGGCATTCACAGGCATCCCTGATGGGTACTGATATGTGGCACTGATGGGCACTGATATGTGGCATTGATGGGCACTGATATGTAGCATTTATATGCACTGAAAGGCATCACTGATGGGGCTGCACTGATAATGAGGGCAACAGATGATCAGTGCCCTGATTATCAGTGTAGATGTCCCCTCTGAGGAATGCCACCGACTGGCTCTCCTTACGCGCTGTCAGCATGAGGAGAGGACTGCCGATAACCGGCATTTCCTATTTACATGTGATCAGCTGTGATTGTACACAGCTGATCACATGGTACAACCAACGTCATCAGCTCTTTACCATGATCGGTGATCCGCTGTATCCTAGGGACACAGCACACCACCGATCACCACATACCACAGGGAGTGCGCATGCGCAGCTAGAGTGGGAGGACATCATATGATGTCCTCCCAGAACAAGAGAGCTGCCACCCATCCGTCATGTCCCTAAACAGCAGGCGGGAGGCAGTTAAAGTCTTGGAGAAGTACAGCCGAACTGATAACAACTCTCCATTGCATGCTTTACAGTTTGTGAAATGTGAAGTGTAAAAATGCCATATAATATTTGTGGGACAGATCTTACATAGGAACAGTGTAATAATGGAGATTTGTGTTACCCTAAATATAAACAGTATTTACAAACTTAGGTGTGTACTAATCTTTTATGAGGATAAGGCTCTAATAAGATCTCTGTAGCATCCTGTTTTCATTTGCCTTGCACAATACATTTATGGCCCTTTTTGCTGGCATGCCAATACATGTATCAGAGCTTAAACAAATATCTTTTTCAGAGGTTTGTGTTCCAGGAAAATACAGAATAATAAAAAAGGAAGTGCAAAAGGTGTATCACTGCTTCCAAAACCAAAGACTGTTCCAAACATTAAACATGGTCAGTCAATGCTCTTCACTCTATACTATAACAAACATGGATACATCAAGCATTCAGTGCTATGGCTACAAATGACTGGCACCCAGGGGCAGACTGACAACTCATGGGGCCCCCTGGCAATAGGGGATCATGGGGCCCCTGTGTCCTTGCCCAATCTCAAAAAAGCCTATGAAAAAGGTACCAGGGGCATCTCATAGGGCCCCCTACTGACCCCGGGCCCTCGGGCAGTGCCCGAGATTCCAAATGGTCAGTCCGCCCCTGCTGGCACCTAATAGGTGTGAATGTGCAATATATATGTAAAGCGCTGCATAAATTGACGACACTATATAAGTACCTGAAATACTAATAGTGATGAGCAAACTAGCCTGTATACATAATTTATTGCTTTGTTCTAATTTACTATTAACCACTTGCCCTCCAGAGGATTTACCCGCCTTCCTGACCAGGCAAAAGCCGGGTGAACATAACGTCTAGTGAACTGAGATTGACCTAATATTTTATTTACTCATTTGTGTGCTTATTGCTAGTTACTGCAACTCATGACATTTTATTGGGTTCACTTACCACTAACCAGTTTGATGTTTGCTTTTTGATACTGAACCTTAGTTGTGTGCAGGGTATCTATACGTGTGCTCCCAGTAGCAGTGCCATATCCATTTGTTTAACCTTCTGTGTCAGTGGGGTTGAGGTTGTTCTCAGAGTCAAGGCAGAAGAATTGAGAACCCAATCTACCAAGTGGCTCCTCTGGGGGGAGCACTACATATCAAACAATGTTTTCAGTTTTCCTAGGTATCTTTTGTGAACAACAAATGAATACTTCCTTTTGTAATGGAACTGAAGAGAGGAGAGGGTGTGTAGTCCAAATCAGGAAAGCACACTAGGATGGGAACTGTGATAATATTAAGGAGTGATAAGCTGCTATTTATTATTTTTTTGTTTTTGGGTGTAGGTATTCTCAAGAGTTGGTAAGAAGCACGGCGGATATGGTGGAAATTGGTCTGAAATACTAGTGTGGATGGATCCATATGGTGTTATGAGTTCAGAGTGAAATTTGAGGATACTGGCAGAAAGATTCATCCCATCATACAGTCTTCTTGGTGACTGTTATTAAAGCAAAAGTTATTTTGAATATTGGTAAGGGTATTTACTCCTTACTTTAGTAGAAGTGACACTGTGGCGTGTGATTTTGGAGCACAAAAAGAGTGATTCACATACACGGTTTTTCACTACACATTGTGTTTATGCACATGTGCTTGTATATTTTTATGTATACACTTTTTTCACTTGGGTGAAATATCACTGGATGGTTCTTATGTATTAATTTATTTAATTAAGGATAATGCACTATGTGGTTTTTATGTTTTTGTTTTTGAGGTAAATCAAGTTGCAGCAAGAGGCTGAGGATTTGAATCAAACTTTGGACACTTGGATTTATTTATTTATTTATTTTTTCAAAGGGACATATGATTTTTGTGAGATTTTTTGATTTTTGATTTACTTTTGGGACTTTATTACATTCACAGATTTGAGGAAAGGATTTATATTATTTATTTACCACTGAGCATATTATTGTTTATATTTATACACCTCTAAGGGTAGGGGTGAAGTGTGCTTAAATAGTAATTGGGGATTAATAGTGATTATTTATTATCATTTGTGTGCTTATTGCTAGTTACTGCAACTCATGACATTTTATTGGCTTCACTTACCACTAACCAGTTTGATGTTTGCTTTTTGATACTGAACCATAGTTGTGTGCAAGGTATCTATATTTGTGCTCCTAGTAGCAGTGCCATATCCATTTGTTTAACCTTCTGTGTCAGTGGGGTTGAGGTTGTTCTCAGAGTCAAGGCAGAAGAATTGAGAACCCAATCTACCAAGTGGCTCCTCTGGGGGGAGCGCTACATATCAAACAATGTTTTCAGTTTTCCTAGGTATCTTTTGTGAACAACAAATGAATACTTCCTTTTGTAATGGAACTGAAGAGAGGAGAGGGTGTGTAGTCCAAATCAGGAAAGCACACTAGGATGGGAACTGTGATAATATTAAGGAGTGATAAGCTGCTATTTATTATTTTTTTGTTTTTGGGTGTAGGTATTCTCAAGAGTTGGTAAAAAGCACTGCATGTCTTAATTTACAGTTATCCTCGTGTCAGTTTTGTATATTTAACGTAACTTATTATATCAACTAAGATATGGATGATGTGTAGAAATGCAATAAATATACACTGCTCAAAAATATTAAAGGAACACTTTGGAAGCACATCAGATCTCAATGGGGAAAAATATCATGCTGGATATCTATACTGATATGGACTGGGTAATGTGTTAGGAACGTAAGGATGCCCCATCGTTTCATGTAAATTAAAATTATCAACCTACAGAGGACTGAATTCAAAGACACCCCCTGAAAATCAAAGTGAAAAAATGATGCAGCAGGCAAGTGCATTTTGCTGAAATTTCATTACAGCAACTCAAAACGGTACTTAGTAGTTTGTATAGCCCCCATGTGCTTGTATGCATGCCTGACAATGACCGGGCATGCTCCTAATAAGACGACGGATGGTGCCCTGGGGTATTTCCTCCCAGATCTGGACCAGGGCATCACTGAGCTCCTGGACAGTCTGAGGTACAACCTGGCGATGGCGGATGGACCAAAACATGATATCCCAGAGGTGTTCTATTGGATTTATGTCAGGCAAGCGTGGGGTACATTCAATGGTATCAATTAATTCATCCTCCAGGAACTGTCTGCAAACTCTCGCCACATGAGGCCGGGCAGTGTTGTGCACCAGGAGGAACCCAAGACCCACTGCACCAGCATTGGGTCTGACAATGGGTCCAAGGATTTCATCCCGATACCTAATGGCAGTTAAAGTGCCATTGTCTAGCTATGCATCCTTCATGGATGTGCCTCCCCAGACCATCACTGACCCACCATCAAAATGGTCATGCTGAACAATGTTACCGGCAGCATAACATTCTCCACGGTTTCTCCAGACCCTTTCACCTCTGTCGCATGTGCTCAGGGTGAACCTGCTCTCATCTGTGGAAAGCACAGGGTGCCAGTGGCAGACCTGCCAATATTGGTGTTCAATGGCAAATGCCAAACGAGCTGTATAGTGCCGGGCAGTGAGCACAGGGCCCACTAGAGGACATTGGACCCTCAGGCCACCCCTATGAAGCCTGTTTCTGATTGTTTGGTCAGAGACATTCACAGCAGTGGACTGCTGGAGGTCATTTTGTAGGGCTCTGGCAGTGCTCATCCTGTTCCTCCTTGCACAAAGGAGCAGATACCGATCCTGCTGATGGGTTAAGGACCTTCTACGGCCCTGTCTAGCTCTCCTAGAGTAACTTCCTGTCTCCTGGAATCTCCTCCATGCTCTTGAAACTGTGTTAGGAGACACAGCAAACCTTCTGGCAATGGCACGTATTGATGTGCCATCCTGGAGGAGTTGGAATGCCTGTGCAACCCCTGTAGGGTCCAGGTATCACCTCATGCTACCAGTAGTGACACTGACCCTAGCCTAATGCAAAACTAGTGAAAAACAGTCAGAAAAGAGGAGTAGGGGAAAAAATGTCAGTGGCTTCCACCTGTAAAACCATTCCTGTTTTGGGGGTCATCTCATTGTTGCCCATCTAGTGCACCTGTTGTTAATTTTGTTAACACCAAAGCAGCTGAAACTGATTAACAACTCCCTCTGCTACTTAACTGACCAAATCAATATCCCAGGAGTTTAACTGGACTTGATGCTATACTCTGATTAAAAAGTGTTCCTTTTTTGAGCAGTGCATAACCCAAAGATGTGTTAAGATATTAAGAACAACAACTGCTTAGAATCCCAGAAAGGCAACTCACATACTTCTTCAATGTCACTCATCTGTAAGACTGATGCCTCACTTCTGAGAGATGCCTAGAACATGCATGAATAATTCACATATCCTTATTCGTATCATCATCTGAGAGGAATACTGCCTTGCCTTAGTTGTTAGCTCTTCTTGATTTTCAGAGACAGTCCTAAGTTTTGATCTAGATCACCTCCAGTCCAGTATGCCCTATATTTTTTGGTATTTGGATGCAAGTTTTTGCTTAATAACATATATTCAAAATAAAGTATGTCTAAGGTCAAAAGTTTTTTTTTACATTTTGAACACAGTAGGAAATGGGTAAAATCCCTGTTAGTATTTTTTATTTTTCTCATCTGTGCCCAAATGAGCATATTTTCCTTAATTTGCTCACCCATAGCCACAACCAGAAGTGAGAGGAAACCTCTTCAAAAAGAGGGAACTTTTACACAGCTGTTATCGGGACATGTGTACACATTGGAAGACTTCCCCTCAACTCCTGTTCTGGTGACAACTCTAAATTTGGGATTTTCCCTCACTTTCAGTCTCAGCTGCAGTGCTTTCCAGGAAAATAGAGAGAGAACAAATCTTAACAGGAAAAAAGACAAAAATTTATATTGGACAAATATTCTAATTCTATATATACATGCTATGATTACTCTTGTTCAGTCAAAAACAGTCCTAAACAATGTGGATGGAGGAATCTTCCCTGATAGCTACTGTATTCTGACAGCCACTCTTCCTGAGTCCCACAGCTGTCAGAATACTCAAACAGTGACTTCATCTGATTGGCTGCAGGCATAACCATTTGCCACCGAACAAATTACACAAAATATTTTGGCTTTAGATACATGTAAAGTCAATTTAAAAGTGATTAGATGTACATTTAAAGCAAAGTAAAAAATTTTTCAAAATATATACTTTTTAACAAATGTAGACATCCACAGAGTGACCATACACGACCAGATATAATCAAGTAATGGGGCATTTTAAGTATGTGTGTTGACCTGGCTATGTAGGGGTTAACTCCCAAGAGGTAACTGCAGCTCTAAGCTTGGGATGCATCCACCCTTACAGAGTTTTACAGCACATATATACTGTATAAGGTCAAATGTTCTATTTTTATGGAAATAGGAAAATAAAGGGTTTACTGACTGTTCCCCATAATATACAATGGATAAGTTGGGTAGAAGTGGCTCCTATTGATGCAGTATTCACTGTGATTTTCAATGAGAGATCTGTGAATGGAAGGTGCAAAGCTATCAATCATCCACCTGTTCCCCCATTCAGAGATCCTCTGTCATTCACAGAAGCTGTAGTGCGACTTCTGTGAATGGTGGATCCGGCTGGAAAGGCTGAGCAAAGTCAAGCTTTCTTGATGAGAGCCCTTGTCAAACCTTTAGCTATATTAAACACCACCACAATGACAGATTACA